TTGTGCTTTATTTATGTCTCATGGCAATAATTCATATGGTCCCCTCCTTGTTCTTTGAGTTGTTGTAGTTCTTTGATTAAAACATCCAATTCCACATGGACCTTAGTAAAAATACTCTTGCTCCAACCATTTAGCTTGTTCATTACATTACCCATTTTTGTTCGTGTGCCAGACTCCTTGTCAGTGTTCCAAGCCTCTTTTATTATCCTCTCACATTTGGCCTCTTGTGACCACATAGCTTCAAAAATCCTTCCCCGTCGTTTTCCGCCACCACCTCTCATCACCTTTTTCCCATATGTGTCCAAAAAAATGGGTTTGTGATCAGAAATCGGAGCTACTAGATGACAAGCCACTTGGTTTAGGAAAGGCTCCACCATGCCATTTTTGCCAGCCACATGTCCAACCTCTCCTTCATTCTTGCCTTGGCTTTCCTGCATCTCTCCCAAGTGAATTTTGGTCCCTGAAAACCCAAATCTAGCAAGCTTGCATCTTCCAAGGCTTCCCTAAAAATTTTCATTTGCCATTCCAGTCTTAGGCTCCCACCTTCCTTTTCATCTTCCCACAAAATTTTATTGAAATCACAAATGCATACCCATAATGTTTGGTGCTTGTTGCCAAATTTCTGAGCATAGCTCATGTATAATGCCTGGAATTTGTGTCTGGCTCTCCATAGAAACCACATAACCTCCATTGTTGGCCGTTTTCATCTACAATCTCTGTGTCAATGTGATGTCTTAAGAAGCTCATTAAACTTAGAGTTACCACTTCCTTCCAAAATAGAGCCAAACCTCCACTATGGCCTCTTGCATCTACCCCAAGCACTCCATCCATCTTGCACTTCCTTTTTATTCCGTCCAAATCCTGTGTTTTTAAGATGGTTCCACATAGAAAAACCACCTTGGGCTCTTTTCTCTTCAGTATCCTCTGAAGAGCTCGAACTGCACGTGGGTTCCCAAGCCCATGGCAGTTTCAAGCTAAGAACTTCATTGAGCTTAGCAGGACTGGGATCCAGTCTCCGCTGTGTGGTAGTTATAATCCTCAGGTTTCCTCCCTTCTTCATTCCTTGTTTTTTCAGGAGAGCTGTCGATCTCTATGTCAATTACCACATCGTTAGCTAGTTTTCTTTTTCCCAGTTCAATTTCTGAGCAAACCTTTTTATCCCTGTGCGCATGAGCCATCTTCTTCCATTTTGATTTAAGGTGTGTTTGTTTCTATCCACTTTCAGAATCTCCTGGTTGGTCATTATTTTCCTTTGCTCCTTGTGTGTCTTCATTACCATTGTGGTCTTTATCCACTTATTTTAATCCCATTTTGCATGGGAACATTGTCAGATTATCGAGAGATATGTCTCCACCAAACCTTTTCATGCACGCCCCCACTTTCCATGTCTTTATTATCAACATCACTTCCATGCTTTAAATCACTTGGCAGCTCATGTACCAAGTTACCAACCTTACTACCACGTGATTCCATTGCATGTTTAATATTTTGCAGTCACAATCCACGTGAGTCTTGGGGTCTTTGACCATCTCCCAGCTGTGGGCCCATCTCATTCACTGTATCCGGTTGTCCTTGATTTTCCATTGTTGTGAAGGACTCTTCTACGTTAAAAACCCCGCCAATTCTACTTTTTTTTTTTTTGTCTAGACCTTGGTTTTCCGTAGTAACGTTAGGTTTCGATTATTTGAAATAAAATGAATTAAATCTTATAAAAGAAATAAACTCTTCCAACATTTATTTTTTTATTTATAATATTCGAAATCGAAATTTTACTTAAAAAGAATTGAATTCTTTATCACTTAGACCAACAGTCGTTGGTCTCAATTTTACTTTCGTAATTTGAAATCTCGGGTATTCGGGATCTTGCTATAATTCGCTCTTATCCTCCCGCTAATTTCCATCTGTTTGGCCTGCAATCACATGCAACTTCCGACCCACTCCACCACTTTGGGTTGCTGTTTCCACCACTCTATCCTTGCTTCTCATTTCTACATTTGGTTTCCAACCTTGGTCATTTGTTGTTCGAGCTCCATTGCCTCCTTTTCCCCATTCAAATCTTTTTTGTTTTAGAGGCGATGCTCGCATCCAATCACTGTATTGTCGCACTCCCTGGCTGTTCTCCCCCAAATCTTTATTTTGATCACATTCCTCCTCTGTATGTCCTAACAAAACATACATAGTAGAAAGTGGGGAGTCTTTCATAACTTAGTTTGCCCCATATTTCTAGCCGGGATATCCTGCACGTAATAACACCAATCTTCGTAGAGGTTTCCTGACCTTTATCTCCACACTCATTCTAAAAATCTTGGCCATTTTCCTTTTTCTATAGTTGTATCCATTGCCTCTAGGATTCCTATCTTCTCTTCTATTCGTTGGCCATTCTCCTGGTTCCTTATCCCTAGCAGTACTCATATACTTGAACCCAGAACAAGGCAGTATTAAAATGGTATTCATCTGGCCTCAATTCACCGTTATATTCCTGGAATAGAATTATTTGTTTGTCGAAGGACCATGAAGATCCTTTCATCACTCTTCCTTTATCAGCCATTGTAGCGAATTTAGATAAAAAGAGATTATTCTCCAAATCTATAATCTCCACTTATTTCGCCAATTGCCAAACCAAGTTGTTGTCCCTTTCAGCGTTTCCTTATTGAAGGAACTTTGTGTTACAACTTTCCAACCAGCCAATTTTTGCCAATTTCATTTTTCTTTTCACTCCTAACCGCTTGCATCACTATACAAACCTTTTGTTCATCCGTTAATCTCAGTCGTTTTCACCTCTCATTCAACTCGTCCTCCATTGTCACCTTTTCTTTCTCCACTATGAAACTTAAAAACTGCTTTACTCACTAAATTCTCAAAAACCACCGAAATCTAAATAATCCCGAAGTAGTAGACACTAAATCAAGATTTGAATTCTTAACTTGAAAGTTTCAAACTTAGCTATTGAGTATTTTTCTTTAAGGCATCATCACTCTAGTGTATAATTTGGCACCGTTTGTTAGCACTTAGCATAAATAATTAAATAATTTTCGCATATAATATTAATCTATTATTAATTATGTAACATAATTATTGTACATAATGGTATGATTTTATATATTATTCATGGTCATATCTTATATTATATGCTTTTTCATAGAATAATGTAATATTAAAAGGGTGCATAGTACACCTGAGTGCTTGCAAACAGGAGAACGTGTTGGGCCCAAAATTAGAGACGCGGTCGGATCAAGCGAGGTCTTGTCAGCTTTCTTAAGGTTCTTCTTAAGTTTCGATTCAATATTTAAAAGGACCGAAAATTTTTTAAAATATATTAAAATATAAAAAATAATTAAATAATAATATATATATAAATATATATTTAAATTAAATTTAAATTTAAAAATTTTTTTATTAACAATTTAATATCTAAGCTTCAAATCTAAAATTTTTATAGAAGACTTAAACCATGGGTAAATTTACTTAAAATAATTAACATCTATTGATCCTAATAATAAAGAGTTTGATTTTTTAAAAATAATTTTAAGTATTGTAAATAAAAAAAATAAGTATTAAGAGAGTTTGCTTCTTTTATTAGATCCAACCTAACTCAATTTCAGATTATTTGAGATTCAAAATTGTTACGACGAATCTCATACTAAAAAAAAATCTTTTAAAAAATTCTTTGTTAATTAACTAAAATAAGACTGGATATTTCTTTAAATCAATAAAGATAAATTAAACATAAAATGAGGTAACATAAAGCTAGCTGGAAAGAAAGACAAGAATCTTTGGTTAAAGCATAAAATTAACAAGTAAAGTTGGTAGCAGAATATCGTTGCTTTTTTGAATCCACAACATGTAAACTTTCTGAGATACAATACATATAAGGTCAAAAAGGGAATCTAATGTGATATTTATGTTTTAAATGTACTTAGCTTTTTGCCTGATAACAACTTGTCTAAATTGGTTACTCTTTTTTTTTTTTTTTTTTCAATTTACTTGTCTAAATTAGACACCAAGAAGTATGTTCTTTTTTAATCCCAATTGACATTAATCTGTCGCACCAATTCACTGTCGTCTGATTCCACCCATAAATTACTCCATCCCCTTCGAATAGCAAGATGGCAAGCCAGTGTAATAGACAGAGCAGAAACCCCTCTTTGTCAACAATCCTTATTTATTTATAGAATATTAAATTTTTAATTTTAATAATCAATTTTCAAATAAAAAAAAATTATCTTCCACACCATTCTTCCCAAAACAGTAATTAAATGATAAAATATATAAAAAGAAATAATTTGTACAATCAACTATGTACTTTTAAAGCTATGCAATCCAGTTGTTGCTCATAATTAGCTTTTTTTTTTTTTTTTTGAAAAATTAGTGGGATCACTAGATATGGTCTCTCAGCCTTTTGAAAAGCAAAATTTACTTATAAATAATATATATATATATATATATATATAGAGAGAGAGAGAGAGAGAGAGAGATTCTTGTTTTTTTTTTTTTTTAAATATTTCTCTGGAGTTTATGCAAAATCATAATTTCTACTAATGAGAAAAGAGAAGAGAATCATCTTCTTTTAAGAAAGCCAAGCACCATTACAATATAAATAAACTCTCTAAAATAAAAGGAAAAAGGAAAAACGATAGATTGAAAGCATCATCATCAAAAAAGTACTACATTGCTATAATTCTTATAGGAAAAACATGACAAAATGCTGAAGGACAAATTGCTTCTGGTGGTGTTCAACAAAGGGCTTTTACACCCTTTTTTTTCCCTTCATCCTTAAATTTCTAGCACAACCCAAATGAATATAATCATGAAAAAGCAGTAATATTCTCTCATTTTAGTCTCTCTTAGTTGGTTGCAACACCTACAAAGTCAAGCCACATATATATTGATTAGAATTGTAGTCAAAATGAATGAGAAACTAAAAGTTAAAAAAAAAAATAAAGAAAGAACCATTGAAGAATAAGGTCAAGAAAATGTACCCAAAGATGGATAGCATGGTTTTAGTATGAAGTTCTATTGTTAAAGTCCCTTGGGGCACTGCATTTGAAACATTCCATCCGGCTAGCAAAATTGTGCTCATTGCATCCTGACCTGCGATCCATCAAATATTCAAGTTGCATTGAAATTTCCATAAGCATAAGTAGATACAGGGTCTTTTCTTTTCTTTTTAGTTTTCTACTCAAACACTGAGTGGAGAAAGAAATATTCTCAAATACTTCCTAGCTTCCAAAAGCAGTCTAAAGAAAATATAGTGTGGAAAAGAAAGATATATACAGTAACAACAAAAGCCTTCAAAGAACAGAATCCGGCAGTAGAAAAACCAAAAGCAAAGTTGTGTAAGGAAAAGCAGGCCATTGTAAAATGGAGAACAGAACATGCGACTTTATTTGTCTAAGCTAGCTAGCAGCTTCTCTATGTTAATTATGATTGAAAACTTTTTTGGTAAAAAAAAAAAGCAATTTTGGGATAAAAAGAAATGATTACAGGTGATAGGATTCGAATTCCAGACGGCGAATCAACCGTGCTAAACTTTTGAGTTCAATTATAATTGAAATTTACAAATATGTTACACAGCTTGGAACAATGATAAAAAATAAAAAAAAAAGGTTGATAGCTTAGAGGGCTCAAGTTCAAATCTCGTAAAAATGCAGTAGTCAAATATTGGAAACAAAGGTGTAACATGAATTTCACCTGGTACAAATCCAGTCGCCAGATTTCCATGAGGATCGATTACCCCCAAATCCTCTTGAACGTGGGATGTCACAGTCAAAACCTCCAGCAGAGTCATCCTTGAATGCACCACATTTGAAGCAGTTGGAACGGCTAGCAAAATTGTGGGTGCCACAGTTTCCAGCAGTGCAGTACCAGTCGCCAGGTCGAACATCCGAGCCAGTGGTGAACCCAAACGAGGAGCCACCCCTCCCACCGTAGCCACCAAAGTCACCTGACCGAGATTCCCCACAACGTTGGCAGGAGTCCCTCCTTTGGAAGTTGAGGTGCTGGCATGACCTGCAGTTCCAATCTCCTGGCCTGCTCATGTTTTTTACTACTCCAAAAAAAAAATTTAATTCAACAGGTGACAAAAATACAATGTCCCAAAAAAAAAAAAAGATTTGAAGTGACAAGATTATAAAGAGATAGAAAGAAAATCAACCTTAATTAGAATAATGGAAAGATGATGACTTGAATGATATAATCAAGAGGGTGAAGTCGAAGGAATCCTTGAAGGAATGACTCAAGGGGGAGTTCTTTATATACAAATACTTAGACCACTTAAAAAGGAATAAATGGAGGGCTTTGTATGTCCTTTTCTGTGTTCTTCTCATTTAGCCTTGATAAATGAAATAATTATATAACAAAAAAATCTAAAGGAAGTAAAGAGATAAAGGAAAATTCCGGCTATGATTCCCAAGACAGGAAATTTTGAAGTTTAGGGTAAATGCTTTGGCATCCTTTTTAGGGTTTTGGAGATATCATTATAGTTAAGTAGCTTACTGAATATGTCACGGATAAAGACTTAATCTCCAGGTCTACGTAGCTTAATGACTCAAATATGCATTCATCCGACATTTCAAATTAGCCTAAGGTCCACACTCTTGTAAGGTATTATCTGCTCTGATTTCACGATTTTGTCTCACAAAAGACGCCTCACACCAAGCACTCTAAGTCACCCTGATAAGTCGGTTTTGAGGGTAGAGGATAATGGCCACATGACAAGTGGTATCAGAGTTAGTTCTGGGGGTACAAGTAATATGCCACCGAGGACGGTGGGCATTCGTTGGAGTGGGAAAAGATATCACGATTTTAGAGAAGAGCCAGGAATCCTACACAGTTGTGTACTAGAATTGGTCATAGGATATAAGGGTTCACACCATCTTCTTTTTGTGAGATGCCTTTTGTGAGACAAAATCGTGAAGTCAGAAAGGCTAGAATGAACAATACCTTATAAGAATGTGGACCTTAAGCTAATCTGAGATGTTGAATGAGTGTATGTTTGAGTCTTGGAGCAACGTGTGCTTGGAGGTTGAGTCTCGGCCTGTGACAAGTGGTATTAGAGCAAGCCTTAAACCGTTCGACTCACTCTAAGTGCTTCGAGGGAGTTGGCAAGGTGGCCAACATTTGTAACGATAGCGTCACAAAGTTAAATGGGGGAGAATGTCACACCAAGTGCTCTAAGGGGAAGTAAGTAAAGTACTTTAATCCCACATCAAATAAAAAAAGGGAGTCATCGAGATATAAAAATGTTAGCGCTGCACACCCTAATAAACTGATTTTAAGGAGAAAGGATAATGACCACCTGACACATGCACATACATAGTTTATTACAGACCTTATAACTTTAAACACAATATAAAAATTATATGAAAAATAAACAAAAATGATATAATTAAAATTTTAATAAAAATTATATATAATTTTTGTAAAAAATTAAAAAAATATATGTTTTGTGAAGTCAACACGAATTCTACACTGTAATTTTTCATGTTTTATAAATATTTAACATGATTCAAAGTGATACAAAAATATAAGTTATTAAATTTATTTTTTTTGGTAAATTTAGAAGTAGAAACAATTTAGCTCTTTTTTTTTTATATTAATATTACATGATTTCGCAACGCAATGCATATTTCCTTGTGACATTAAAGTGAGGGATTATGTACAATATTCCTGCTTAATGTCCTTGTGAACTTATTATGTGGTCTAAAGAATCAATATTTCCAATTGAAGTATACTTAGTATATTTATAATTTTAAAAAGATTCTTATTTTTCATTTTTAAGATTAGTAATGCACCAACATTCAATACTCAATCTAAAGGTTGCTAAAACCAAACCAAACCAAAGTGCCTATGGCATAAATGATGGTAACTCTTAAGTATAACCAATAATAACTCCTCAAACGGTTAAAGTACTATAATAAGTTTAGGGATTTAATTACCAAATCTATAGGACTCTAATTTATTACTTTCTCTTCTACATATGATACTCTTGTTTCTAATACAAAATTTCAAGTCAAAACTTTACTTTTTGTTATTTTGGAAAAAAAATCAAATTAACTCTTTGAACAAGCTAAAACTTTGCTTTTTAATTAAAAAGAAAAGAGATTTGTATGCATAGACACATATATAAAAGTGGAATTTAAAAATTTAATAAACTAATAATCACATGAGATGATTCCAAAGGTAGGAAATTTTGGGTCAATGCTTCGTCTTCCTTTTTAGGGTTTTGGAAATATCATTATAGTTAAGTAGCTTAGTGCATGTATCCCAAGCCGAGACTCAACCTCCATTCTCGTGCAGCTCCAGGATCCGAGCATAAACTCATCCAGCATCATAGATTAACCTAACTGTTATTGTTCATACTCTTGTGAGGTATTGTTCATTTTAGTCTCTTTGACCTTATAGTTTTGTTTCACAAAAGAAGCCTCACAATAAAAAAGTGGTATGAACCCTTATATCACATAACCAACTCTAGTACATAGTCGATGTGGGATTCTTAGCTCTACTCCAGGATCATGACACATGCACATATACATAGTTTATTGCAGGCCTTATAACTTTAAACACCACATAAAAATTATACAAAAAATAAACGAAAATCATGTAATTAAAATTTTAATAAAAATTATATATGATTTGTGTAAAAAAGTTCTAAAAAAATATGTTTTGTGAAGTCAACACGAATTTTACATTGTAATTTTTCATGTTTTATACATATTTAACATGATTTGAATGCAATACAACTTATTAAATTTAATTTTTTTGGTAAATTTAGAAGTAGAAACAATTTAGATCTTTTTTATATTAATATTACATGATTTCGCAACCAAATGCATATTTCCTTGCGACATTAAAGTGAGGGATTATATACAATATTCCTGCTTAATGTCCTTGTGAACTTATTATGTGGTCTAAAGAATCAATATTTCCAATTAAAGTATAGTTAGCATATTTATAATTTCAACAGAAAAATATTCTTATTTTTCATTTTTAAGATAAGTAATGCATCAACATTCAATTCTCAATCTAAAGATTGTTAAAACCAAACCAAAGTGCCAATGGCATAGATGATGGTAACTCTTATGTTTAGCCAGTAACAACTCCCCAAACAGTTAAAGTAATGTAATAAGTTTAGGGATTTAATTACCAAATCTCTAGGACTCTAATTCATTACTTTCTCTTCTACATATGTTTCTCTTGTTTCTAATGCAAAATTTCAAGTCAAAACTTTACTTTTTATTATTTTGAAAAAAAAAATCAAATTAACTCTTTGAACAGGCCAAAACTTTGCTTTTTAATTAAAAAGAAAAGAGATTTATATGCATAGACACTTATATAAAAGTGGAATTTAAAATTTTAATAAACTAATAATCACATAAGACGATGATAAGGATAGCAATTGGATGGGTCGTATTTAACTTGGATCAGATCATTTTTTGTTGGATTGTTTTGGATTCAAATTATTTTGATTTTAAATATTTTGACATTTAGTACATTTAAATTTGACACTTGAATTATTAGGATACAAATCATTTTAATTCAAGTTGCTAATTTTTAAAATAAAATTAATTTAAGTTTTGATCATTTTGACTTAATCTTTTTAAATCATTTGGATTTAAATTATTTTAAGTTCAAATTTTTTTAATTTAAATTGAGCTAATTTAAATTGCTAATTTTTCATTATTAAATCAAGTTGGATTGTTTTAGGTTTGAGTGAATTAAGCGAATTTTTCGTATTCAAATCATTTCCAGATCTACAGACTACAGTGTTTAAATAAAATTTCCAATTATTTTCAAAAGGACATTTTAAAGAATTGTGAAATTAAACACCATATCTATACACTTTCATTTTGCTCACATTTCAGTCATAACGTAACATGGTGTAGTCAAACACCAACAAGGGTGGGAGAGCGACCACACTGATTTAGGAATGTAGGCCTAGCCAGCAACCCAACAAAATCAGGATCCCACATAAAACAAACAAGAGATTCTGTTACCCTATAAGCACAACATAGCTAATCCCAAAATTCTATTCAATCAAGTACCGAAACCATGAAACTTAGAAAAAGCCTCATTGACCATTGGCATCAGGGACCCTCCTCCTGTAGGGTGGCAATTGCAATTGCAATTCCAATCTCAATCCCCTTAAGCAAAATGTGGCAAAAAAAAAGAAAAAAAAGAACTAAGCCTTAAATTTTTTTGTAATATGCATAATCAGGATATCCTTAAATTTTATTTGAATCTATTTTTCTTTTCCGACGATTTTAAGACATATTCTTCTGCACTGATTTGATACATTTAGGATTTTATTTTTAAAGCATTTCACATAAAAATCGAATCTTAATGTATAAGAAACGGAGCTACTCTCCTCACCAGTTGGATTAACCTTTTGGTAGTACCTACACTATAATTTGTGGTCGGTATTATAAATCTCATTGCATTGCATGCCAAATTCTAACATTTGAGTGTACAATCTATTTTGCTTTAGAATATAACTCAATGGAAAACTTAAGCAAATTATAATATTTTTGCTGTATTATTAAAGGTCATTTTCTACCAACGTGGGCTTTCTCCTTTTTTGCTCTTAAGAGTATTAGAAATGAAGGGGCTCCTTTTTCCCATTTTTTCAATGTTTTGTTTATGTGGGGGTAAGGAGTTACTAGCTTTAGTCCTTTGGGGCAGGATAATAAAGTGTTGCTTTATTTATTTGCTGAAGATACATGCATTACCCTCTGTATTTTGGGTTTTGGTCTTATGCATGGGCTGTCAACCCCTCCCTTCGATTTAGAATATTAATAGAATTCAGTATTCTCAAGAAAAAAAAAAGATTAGAAAAGGAAGCACCTAAATGGAATACAATTGGAATCATGCAATGCATACTTTTCATTATCTCTTGATATGATTTGGAGGGAGAGAACCAAAAAAAAAAAAAAAAAAGAGAGGAAAAGACAAACCAAAAAGAGAGAAAAAGGAAGAGCAAATGGTGAGCTTCAATAAAGATGGGTTTGAAGGTGCTGATGAGGGAATAACAAGGCCATCG